ATCGGATAATTACTGAAAAGCTAATGAAGGGACTCCAGAGTCTAGAGATTTCTGGGGGCATAGGGGGAGGAGCAGGGCAAGAGTTCAGGATGAAGTCCCTGACTCACCCTGTGGGAGACAGACTGGGTGGGGGAGGGGGTGTGCCAGCCTTGGGTCACGGGGTTCTGTGTGTGTAGAGGGGGTGCTCAGCAGCTCCTGGCCTCAGCACCCAGGGCATTGGGCTATGGGGTGTGTGTCATGAAGAGTCTCCAGGCCACTCTCGTGCATGCGTGGGTCAGGATCCCTAGCCTCAGAGAGCTTTGGGGGACCCGTCTTACTCTGTTTCATCTGTCTCCTTCCTGCTGTTTTGTCCCTCTCTGCTCCAGGACCTGCTCCTGTTAGCCAGCACGCTTAACCTCACAATCACCCTAAAATTAAGTTCATGTACATAGTTGGGGATGTGGGGGCTCCACCAAAAATTACCTCCAGTCCCCTTCTCCCTTACCAGACCACATTCCCAGCCTCTCCACTCTCCTGGAGTCCCGGGATTCCTGAACAGTCTATTAAAGTTCTTGGCTGGGCTTTGCCTGTGGTCTTAGGTGATCTCTTGCCCTTCTCAAGCGGCCCCAGGGAGAGGTCTTCCCTTCCCATTTGACAGTGGGAGATCCCAGATCCTCATTGCTATTAGGTCACATTGGATCCTCCTGGGGTTCCAAGTTGGGAAGTGTCTGAAATGGGGATGAGGAAAGGAAGAAGGAGGCAGGAGCTTCGTCAGAGGCAGGAGAGATAGGCAGGAGCAGCCCCGCATCGCTGGCAGGGAGCTCTGCAGGGATGGACTGACCTGAAGGGGTGTGGGGGTCAAGTCTTAAAAGTGGCACTTCTTTCTTTCCTATGGAGGAAACCTCAAAAGGAGGGGGAGGAATTTGGAGGGTCCCAGCCACCCCAGCTCTCTTCCCTGGTGATGCTCTTTCATCTCCTCCATCCTGTAGGGATCATTTTGTCCCTCTCCCACTGCCTGTGTAACCTCAGGGGAGGGAAGGAAGTCCAGCTTCTCTGCCCCTCACCCCCAGCTGTCTTTTCCAGCTGAAATCCCCTTTCCTGGCAGACCTCAGAGACCCAGATCTCACCCCCTACTACTCCCTCCAGAGAGCTGGGGCCACTGTTTCCTGGATTATCCTAAAAGCTTCCGAGGCCATTAGGACTTGGCTGCATCCCTGCCTGTGTCTCTCACCTTCCCTTCTGGCTCTGACTGTCACCTCCTTTAAAAGCCTAGCTCTCCCATCACCCCAACTTGCCCCTCACTGTGGCTGCCAGCTCTGGGCTCCACAGACTGGAAGAGGGACTATTTCTCTGTCCATGTGAGGAGACAAGAGGCTCAGGCCTCCATTCCAAAGTGGGGAATCACTAAGAAGGGTTTGGAAGGCTTGATTCTCTCTGAATTGGGGAGGCAGGATGAGAGAGAGAGATCTTGGAGGCTCTATATAGAAAACCAAAGAGGATTCCTTGGGGGTTTTTGGACTGGGCTGGTCTGAGATCTGGGAGAGAAACGGATTTACCAGTTAACAGATGACTGGTGACTTCATTCCAGGAAGTACAGATACACAGGGCACATGTAAGTTCAGCATGACAGAGCCCCTGCAGAAGTCGTGAGGGACAGACCACTGTACATGTCCTTGGGGAACTCCCTTTCTGGAGTAGCCAGCATCACTACATGTTGAGAACAGACACCCCACATTCAAGCCCCAAAGATACACACTGGCACAATGTGCACACACATTTGCAGATACATATACACCCCAACATACAGATGTCCTATCCTCAGCTAGGATCATCTTTCAGACTGAAAACAGTTGTGGATGAGAGTGGTATCTGGATTTATAGTAGAATTAGTGTCTAGTGAGTGTAGCGCTTCACCCTAGGAAGACCCTCAGTGAGTGTTTGCTGAACATGTAATGGACAAGTGAAAGAAAAACATTTGGCCTCAGCCCTGGACTCTGTCCAGTGTCTCAGGAACCTGGGAAAGCAGGTGGGACAGGAAAGGGGGAATGGATTTGTATCCAGGGTCACCAGCTTGCAGCCTGGTTGTGGGGATGTGGAGCAGAGAAGCAGAGCAAGCAACAAGGAAAGCAGGAATTAGGAAGCCTGGGGTTCTGGTCCCTGCTTTGCATATCACTGTCTATGACTTTGAGCTGCTTGCCTCCCTGTTCTGGGGTTCTGTTTCCCTACCAGTAAAATGAAGGCTTGCACTAGCCCATTTTTAAGGGGTGGCCAGCTTTAGTATTTTCAGAGCCATCTCCACAGGACAATTGAAGTTGAAAGGGACCACAGATATAGCTGTGACTTGTCCCAGCAATCTGAGGTGGGACCAGTTTGTCCTATTAAAGCAGGATCAGGATAACTTTGATCTACGGGTCATTTAAGAACACTGTCCCCTCCACCTTCAGGATCTAGGGGAGCCAGATTCCCAGGGCCATCATCACTGTCATTATAAGACTGGATGGAATAGCAGGGCTTTGGAGCCTGACAGATCTGGACCTGGTTTCCTTCTGTGTTTCTTAACTACTCTGTAAACTTGGGTAGGTCATTTAATTCCTTTGATCCTTGGGGGAATTTTTCTACTTTGCTGCATGCTCATGAGAATTAGAGATATTGGGATATAGTGGCTGTTCAATAAATAAATGCTGGTTTTGATGAAAATGGAGACTAATGAGGGTGCTCCTAGCACAGAATGGATTGCTGACTGTAAGTGAGGTGTGAAAATAAGAGAGGTGGCAGGAATGGGAGGTGGACACCTGTAGCAAAGTCTGCCTATTTATCCCTTTGGGGGAATGAGGGAGAGGAGCAGAAATGGCCCTGACACCAGGCAGATCTCAGTTTGGTGGGAGATGTGGTAGGCAGTGTTGTTCAGTCTTGAGGTGAGATAAGAATACTGGGCGGTGGTGATCTTGGCAGTCATGTCAGCATCAGACCAGGCACACTGTTCAGTAGGAAAATATTTATTTAGCAAGTGGGAAATGGAAAGGGCTGGAATCAGAGGACAGCAAGGAGAGGGGATCTAGAAAGAAGATAGTGCCCTGAGTCAGAGGCAGAAACCAGAATGGCTGAGTTTTCTGAGACAAATGCTTTACAGGTGGATTTCATGCTGAGGAGCCACAGGTAGATGGAGGGTCTTTGCTCCTAGGAATGCCAGGTGGCTGCAGGTTAGGGTGGAGTCGGATAGGGTCAAAGGGGGCCTGGGTTGAAAGTGGGGTGGAATGTCCACCATCCAAGGGCTGGATCCCTCTCTGGGTTGCTTTCCAGGGAAAGATGGAAGGAACCAAGAAGATAAGACAATCTGGTGTCTAAATAAATGGGAGAGAGTACTCACTCCCCAACTCAGAGTCAGGTGTCTGTGCATTAGCTTCTGAAATAGCCAGAGGCCAGAAGGATGCAGGAAGGTAGAGGCAGAGAATGCCTATTGGTCCAATCAGATTTAATCCAAGAACTTGAGTCACAGGATCCCCTAACTCTGTTCCGAATGTGGCTGTGAACCGGGATGCAAACCTAAATAGCTAAGATTTGCAGACTGAGTGAATGGAGATAAAACCATGTCAATAGAGGGGGTTGTAGATGTAACCATGGCCATAAAGATCCACAGCAGTTCTTGAGAAGATGCATTTCAGGGGCCTGAGTGTCTGGAAGAAGGAAATGAGACTGACCGCAAAGTACAACCCTGACATCTGGGAGGTACCTCTAGGCTTCCCAGGCACCTGTCCTTTACCCAGCGGAGTGGCTGCTCTAACTGCATTTCACGGAGAAGGCAACTGAAGCTCATAGCAGCCTGACCCGCCAGATCAGCTTAGCAAATATAGGGCTGGGGCTAGAATTTAGGTCCACCAACTTCTAGTCAAAAGATCTTTGTGAAGATAACTTAATCCCACAAACACCTGCGGAGAATCCACTTATTTAATAATTATAACAAAAACACGGTATCTTCTCTTTATTGTGAGCTTACCAGTGGCCTCACGTGGCTAAGTATTTTAGATACATCAGTTCCTATAAGCCCCAGGACACCCTCTGGACTTTACTCAGGTTGTTCAAATGAGGAAACTTCAGTGTTACAAGAGAGGGGATGCACAGATGAACGTGTGGAAAACCACACACACACAACATTGATTATCAAGTGGCTTGTGGATTCAGTTTAGCCGCTTTGTAGTCGCACTTCGAGTATGTCCCAAACGGAAATTCAGGACGGGTAAAGCAATGGTGATGGAATCTCAGCTGTAGAGGCGAGATTGAATCAGTTTGAATTCCGGTCCGACTGCAAAATGGACGGTAAAGACAAAAACGAAATTTAAAAAGCCGATGGCAAAGCTCATAGGGACAGCCAACCAGCACAATGAAAAAAATGTTGAAATTGATCAGAATTGCCCCGCAAGAAAGGGGTCATTTCGGGAGGTTAATGCGGTGGTTAGAGGTGGCACAGACCGGGAAGGGAACATCAGACACTCGGACACACAGGCCCGCCGGGCGGGAAGGAGGGGAGAACCCCGCTACCCACCCGGACTCGGCCTCTCGACCAACTCGGATCTTGAGAGAAGTTTTTAGGAGGGTGCTGCAAACGCCCTGCAATTTTGCCAGCATGTTGCACTGTGTACGTGCACTTGTTTTTCTTAAAGGAATCCCAGACGCTTCTCCAAAATTAGATCCTTGAGTGTAGACATTTAGGTGACAATCGGGAAGCAGTGATGGCAAGGGGTCGCTCAATTATATCCAGAGCCGTTCAGGCGCCTGTCCCCACTTTCGGGGTTGGGTGCGGGATGCGAGGGTGGAAGGGCGTAGGCTGAGCACCTCCGCCACGAGAGGAGCGTGTATTTGAGAGGCGGACTCAGGAGGCGCTGGGTTTGCTGCTCAAAGGGAGATGCGAATGAAAACTGAGGGAGCCTGGGAGACGAGTGGCGGCAGCAGAGATGAGCAAGTTGGGGCGCAGGGGGAAGAGAGGAGGTAACCCAAAAAAGTGATCGGAGAGGGGGAATTGGAAAGCTAGAACGAAAAGGACGGCGGAGGGTGGTGGTGGTAGAGAGAAGCTGCGGAGGGAATGGTGAAGCGAGACGGCAGCAACACAAATTTCTCACGGCTTAGGGCGGGGGTTGGGGGGTAGCCCGGACGCATACTTAGCGCTCAGTCCTTTTTCCTCCTTTCCTCTCAGTTCCGGGACAGCGCTGCCCACGTCGGGGCTGGTGGGTCAAGGGCCAGAGGCCAGCCGCTCCCGAAGGGTGGCTCTCTACCACCTCCGGGGCCGCCCCCTCCTGCATTCCCTCAGGGTCTGAGTCCGCGTCCCCCAGCAGACCCGCCAGCTCCAGGGCAGTTTTCCAGCCGGTGGGCGGGTTTCAGAGCGCGCTAAACGCTCGTCAGGCGGACTGAAGGGGCCAGGGAGGGGCGAGGCAGGGGGCGGGACGAGACCTAGTTAACGACCCCTCCCCGACTCTCCCCCCACCGCCCCCTCTCCGCCGCCGGGAAGGCTCTGTCCCGTCCCGCCAAGCCCGCAAGGGTTAAAGGCGGCCGCAGGTGAGGTGGGCGGGGCCGCAGATTCGGGGGAAAAAGGAGCGCAGGGCAGTGGATGAAGGCAGAGCGCGGGGTGAGTCACGGGCGGAGCTGGCCTCGCTCGCTCGCTCGCCGGCTCCCGCCCATCCCCGGCCCTCCCGCCGGCTCTCTCCGCCCCCCCTCTGCCGCCCGCCGCGGGGTCTGGTCGCATCCCCAGCTCGCCCTCAGCTCCCGCCCCTCGCTGCTGGGGAGCCCGCCGGCGCTCTGGGCCGCGGAGCGCCCGTCCGTAGCGCGCTAGCCCGCCGTGCCGGAGAGCCCGAGCGCAGCATCGAGGTAGGAGCCCGGGTCGGGGCGGCAAGGGGTGCGCGCCTCGAACGCGCCACAGCCTCGGTCTTGGGGGGAGGTGGCCCTGAAGGATCTGAGGGGCTTAGAGCCCTGGCCGAGTGAAAACTGGGCGGACGGGAGAGACTGGAGGGACCGAGGAGGCTGGAAACTGGGGAAACTGGCGCGACTGGGACAACCGGAGGACTGGAACCTTGAGGACTGGGAGTATGGAAGTCCTGACCACCCGAGCGCCGGTGATCCCAGAGAGGCAGCCGGCGGAAGGAAGGAGGAGGGGGTCTTCACCGCCTTCCCGCGTTGGGAAGCGGGGAAGCTGGGAGTGAGCACCCTGCAGTCTCCCCTACCGAAACCGTGCTGGCAGGCCTTTGCAGCCCAGGACTGGGCTTCCTGGCCCTCCATCGGGAGAGGCCAGTCTGAAGCCTGGGTCGTTAGCCTTCCCACCCTCTAGACCCTGGGGGCAGTTCCCAGGTGCCGAAAGCTATTAGGGTCCCAGGCCTCACTGCTCCCGCCAGCCCCTTCTGGGCTGCCCCGCCTGGGCCTGAGGCTCCATTCCTGCTGCTTCACCCTGTTCCATTTCTTGTGGTGAGGCAGCAGGAGCCTGAGTAGGCGCCCCAGTCCCCCTCTCCCTCCCTCTCCCAGACTACCAGGGCCACCTCCCTAGTCCCAGAGGCAGAAGGTGGTAGGGACAGCTGAGCCCTGCTGTGGAAAGAAGTTCCTGCCCTAAACTACTGCACCTCCTTCCACACCATCAGAGAAGGTCCAGGCACACCAATGCCACACCTGAGGCACCCATGCTCCCAGGCCTTAGAGTGAGAAGGGGGAGACCTGCAAGTCAGATATGTGGTCAATAAAGAGGTGGGGGTCTTTAGGTTCCCAATGGTTTAGGGAAAGAATAACAGACTGAGTCAAGAGACCTGGTTCACAGAGGTTCATACAATACATATTTGTTGACTGAATGAATAAATGAATGTTCAAGTTACTTCTCCAAACACTACCTGGGTTTCCTCTTTTTTAGAATAAGAGGGTTGACCTGAAGCAGTGGTTTTCAACACTGGGCTGCATATTTGAATCACCTGGGAAGCTCCTAAAACTGATCCATGTCTAGAATGCACCCCTCTATATAATCTCTTTGGGTAATTCTTCTTAATTTCCATGATTCTGGCTTTTCCTATTGCCCCTTGCTACCCCAACTCTGACCCTGCGCTCCTTAGGGAGGGTGGGAATTTTACCTTCCTGAACTTGCTGGTAAGCTTTTCTCTGGCTGACCCCCTTCTCTGGGGAAGCCAACCTCTTGAAGCTTCACATCTGGGTCTCCCCTAGATTGTAGGAGAAAATGGGTAGCAGCCAGAGAGCTGGCTAGCACTGGTGCAGGGCAGGACAGGGAAGAGGGCTTAGCTTTCTCTGGTAGGGAAAAGTACCCTCCCCCCCAAACTGGCCATGCAGCTGCACCCCAGGGAGGTGAAGTCCCTCCCTGATGGAAGGGGGTCGGGGAAGTCATGGGAGTGGATTTGGTGGGGCTGAGGCAACCTGGCCAGGCAGGGAGCTGGTGTGGGGCAGTGAAATGCTCATCCACTGAGTATGCCTCGGGGATGGAATGAGGGCTCCTCTGCTATCTCAGAACCTGCTTTGGTAAGTCGGGCCACCTCAAGCTTTGGGTTTTAGAAACAGACCACTTCACTGTGCACATCATCTGTGTGCTGATTTAAACTGGAGAAGCTGAGATGAGTCTAGATCCTCCATTTGGGCTGGCAGGAGTTCTGTAGGGGAGAAATACCATTGCTTCTTGCACAGGCCTGGGCAGCTGGTGTGGGCATGGTTTTAGCACTATACTACAGGTATATTCAACCTACCAGCCTGGGACCAGTCCAAATGGAGGGTGAGCTGGGACCTATAGTAGGGATCATCAAGGAAAAGGTAGACTTCCATCATCCTCTGCTCTTGGCCAAGAACCTCACACCTTCAACCCTTCCTAGCACTCTCAAATTCTCTTATTCTGATCTTTAGTCCCCACCCAGAGGTGTGTTCCTCTTTAACTCCTGGGGGCCAGAGAGGAGCCCTTTGCAGGGAGGGGATCTGGTTTAGGATGGAAAGTACCCTGGTTACTTTCTTCACTTCTTCTTTGCGTCCTTTAGGTCCCACCTGAGGTGCCCCTGACTGTCCTTGATCCCCACCCCATCCCGGATCCCGGCAATGCTAACCGCTGTCTGTGGCTCTCTGGGCAGCCAGCACCCGGACGCGCCTCACGCCTCCCCGCCGCGTCTTGATCTACAACCTCTCCAAACATACCAGGGCCACACGAGCCCGGAGGCCGGGGACTACCCCTCCCCACTGCAGCCTGGAGAGCTGCAAAGCCTCCCGCTGGGCCCCGAGGTGGACTTCACACAGGGCTATGAGCTACCTGGGGCCTCCTCTCGGGTAACCTGTGAGGACCTGGAAAGCGACAGTCCCTTGGCCCCAGGACCCTTTTCCAAGCTCCTGCAGCCGGACATGTCACACCATTATGAATCGTGGTTCCGGCCGACTCACCCAGGCACCGAGGATGGCTCGTGGTGGGACCTTCATCCGGGCACCAGCTGGATGGATCTCCAGCACACTCAGGGCGCGCTGACCTCAACTGGCCACCCCGGGGCTCTTCAGGCTGGCTTGGGGGGCTACATCGGAGACCACCAGCTTTGTGCCCCGCCGCCGCACCCACACCCGCACCACCTCCTTCCAGCCGCCGGAGGGCAGCACCTCCTAGGGCCTCCCGACGGGGCTAAGGCCTTGGAAGCAGCCGCCCCGGAGTCGCAGGGGCTGGATTCCAGTCTGGATGGGGCAGCCCGGCCCAAAGGCTCCCGGCGGTCAGTGCCCCGAAGCTCAGGCCAGACCGCGTGCCGCTGTCCTAACTGTCTGGAGGCCGAACGACTGGGGGCTCCGTGCGGGCCCGATGGGGGCAAGAAGAAGCATTTGCACAATTGCCACATCCCGGGATGCGGGAAAGCCTACGCCAAGACGTCCCACCTGAAAGCGCACCTGCGTTGGCACAGCGGCGACCGTCCCTTCGTGTGCAACTGGCTTTTCTGCGGCAAGAGATTCACGCGCTCAGACGAGCTGCAGCGCCACCTCCAGACCCACACCGGCACCAAGAAGTTCCCTTGTGCAGTCTGCAGCCGTGTCTTCATGCGCAGCGACCACCTGGCCAAACACATGAAAACCCACGAGGGCGCCAAAGAGGAGGCTTCTGGGGCACCCACGGGCGAGGGCAAGGCCAGTGGAGCGGTTGAGTCCCCAGCGGGGAAAGGCAAGCGGGAGGCCGAGGGCAGCGCGGCCCCCTCCAACTGAGCTCCTGGGGTACCGCCTCCCCGCTGGCCTCCCCTGGAGGCATCACAAGAGGGTCCCCTGGCTTAATGCCCTTGGGGGGCGGCTTGAGTAACAGGAGAATGTGGTTATTTATTGAAAGGGGGAAAAGTGGTGCGGGGCCAGGGGGACAGGGCGCTAGGGGTTTTTAGTCTCGGTGGCTGGACGGGACCCGTTAGACTGGCTGGGCCGGGAGGAACTGCACATGGCCCTCTGTTCTACCCTTCCTCACTGTCCGCTCACGCCCCTGGGCTGGGGGCTAGGGCGGGGTACCCCTATCGCGGCAGGTGGGGGGAGGGGACCAGCGGGAGGAGACGTTGCCCCCTTGGAACACAGAGGAGTGGGGCAGCCCCAGGCGCTGAGGGTAGCTGTCTGGACACGTCCTTAGCTCTTGGGAACCGGGACATAAAAGCTGCGGCCCAGATCTCTTTCATCTGCCGTATAGTGCTTTTACCCCTAGTGTTTTTGGAGAGAGCTGAGATGGGGTATGGGAAATTGAGGGTCCCTCTAATGGAGGGTCTCTCTCTGGCTGGGAAATAACTCCTTTAATGCACCTCCTTATTAACCCTCCCAGACAGTCTGATGGAGCCATGAAGGAAGAAGGGTAGAAGGCCAGAATCCAGATAACTTCCTAGCCAGAACTGTGGGGTGGAGGAGAGAACTAGATTGGGGGGTGGGGAGGGAAGCAGGGGGATCAAGGACATCCCCTTTCTAAAATGAGAGAAAGGGAACTAAGCCCTTCCCTCTCTGACTTGGTTTTAGTCTTGGCCTTTATAAAAAATACCTTAATATAAAATACCTTTATAAAAAAAAACCCTTGGTCTTTATAAAAAATAAATAGTTCAGCAGTCCACATTCCCCATCTGTTACTGATGTAGGTTTTCAAGGAAGCCAGAAGACTCTGATCTAGAATAGATGTGGCCCCCTCATTCTAGGTCCTCCTTCATTTGTCTTCCTCTCAACGATGGAAGGAAGAGGGTTACCTTGTTGCTTGGGGCTAGGTAGGGGTATCCCAGCAGAGGGATCTCCAGCAGCTCCCGCTCAGAGTGGAGGACTCTGCCCCTAACTGGCCATCGCCTGCTCACCCAGAAGCTAAGCCTCACCCTTTCTTTAGCAGGACCCTTCCCTTTCCCTGCTGCAGGCTTGGCCCCTCCTGCAGAATGTGTCAGGGGCTCCTTCCTCCCATCCAGCCTATGGGGAAGGAGGGCTCCCTTCCATATGAAGGAGTTGTTCTCCCACTGGAAGGGGTCTGCCTACTGAGGTGATGTCCAGGAAGCTGTCCCTGTTCCCTTTAGATGCTAGAAATACATCCTGCTTGTGATCCTGGAGTGGGGAGGGCGAAGCCCAGCAGGGGCGAGCCAGGCAAAGGAGAGGAAGCTGATGGGGGAAGGGTCTGGAGCTGGTGGGCTTTCCCAGGCTCAAGGTGAGGCAGTAAGAATCCCACTGGCTTGGCTTCTGTTCCCCGCCCACCCACCCCGCTGCTCTATCTCCACCCAGTAACCTATGTGAGGATTAGTTGTGTATTGATTTTTAAGTTATAAGCAAAAGGTATTTTATTTAATATTAGGGCATGTGTGTGTGTGCACGCTGTGTGTACTCGTGTGTGTGTGTGTGTGTTTCTCTACTGAGCCTGGGGTCTCTAGCCAGGGAGACCCCACCTTGTTCACCCCTGTCCAGGGTCCTGTGGCCTAGGCCCGTAGCCTCTCTTCCTCCCTTGGGGTCGCTGGAGCCCAGTCCAAGGACTAGGAGCTTTATGGGAAGTGGGGCTGGGATCTGGGTGGGAACATGGGTTTGTGTAGAAGAGAGCCCTTCTTAAAAGGGACAGGGTGACTCTCTGAGGGACTTATGAGCAGGCCTGGGGTAGTTTAAGAAGTAATGTTCTTTCTTTATGCTCCCTCTTTTCCCTACCTCCTGCTAACCCAATCAGAGGTCCCTTTCCTTGCTGAGAGGGTTGAGGACAGGAGAGAGTTGGCAGTGCCTGCGGGTTGCCTGGTGAGGGGGAAAAGGGGTGGGCATCGTGGGTGTGGGATGCCTTTCTCCTCCACCCATTGAAACCAGTCACCCTCTCCCTGTGCCACCAGGGCAGCCTTTTCCAGTGACCATTCTAAGGAGAACTCCCAAATTGGTGTTGGGGGTGGGGGTGGCACACAGATGTTCCTCCCATAGTGGCTGGGGCTCTCAGGTGTGTGGGTGAGGGGTTTGGGTAGGTTTTCTTCTGCTCCCCTCCTTATAGATCTAGGTTGCTTGGCTGTCTGCCCCCTTTAGGCAGCCCCCTAGAGGAGAAATGTAGGAATTTTTTTTCTTTAACTGCTGTGAACCCACTTTGAAGGGGAGGAGGAAGAGGAAGAAACTGCCTGTGTTTTTTATGCCATAATAAAGTCATCAACTACATCATTGGTTCATTTGTCTTCCAGCTCTGGTTTCCTTCTTGACTCAGTGTCCCTCAGCAGTGAGGACCCGGAGGGCTATGGGGCAGGGTGGACACTTCCTTTGATCTTTGATCCTGCAGCCCCAGGCAGCCTCATCTCCCTTTGTTTGGGGCAGAACTGAGCTGATTGAAGGGTCTGATCCTGCCCCTGAGGTGGTTGGTGCTGAAGGAGAGAGGAGCTCCCTGGGGGTTGATGGTTGGGCTGACTGTCCCTCCCTGGTCATCACCTGTGGAGATGAGAAGATTCTAGATATTTCCTTCCTCCTCCACATGCAAGTCCCCTGCCTCCCCTCCCCTGCCAAGAATCTGGTTCCCTGCCTTCCCAGAGATGGCTAGCCTCTTGGCAATCTCACCCCACTCCCATGGGGGTGTGCCTGTCAGTCTGTCCCTCTGGCTGTGAGTGAGGTGGGGGTGATCGACAGCCATTTCTTCACCCAGGATGATCCCTATCAGGGACAAGGCGATGAAAGGCAGCCAAGATATCTGATGGGCTCCCACCCAGCTGGAAAGTATGAAGGCAAGCTCCTACTGCAACTCCCAGCTGTAGGCCTGCTGCAGTTACACAACCCCAGTGTGCACAAAACGTTCCCTCACTGGACCCACCGGGTGCCCTCGGATATGCAGCAATACCCATCTGTATACACTCTCCCAACCTGCCCAATGCCTGGTAAGCAGTTGGTGTCTCATTCGTGTCAAATGAGTTAAAACCTCATGACTCCAGAGCTCCGAGGCTAGGAAGGATCAGTTTTTGGCTTCAAGAGGGCAAGGTATTGTATTCTTTCCCCCTCCCATCCTACATTTTGGCTAAAATTATCTTCCCCCACTCAACTCCTAACCCGCTTCTCAGGGCCAAATCTGGTACTCAGATTGACTCATTCATCACTATTTTTTAGAAGAGTTTGGGGTCACAAAGTTTAAAGCCACCTAGGGATGGGGGCATCAGAATGATTTAGGGGTTACAAAGGAAACCAGACTGGTTTGGGGGGACCATTTGTTTCCACCTGCTCCTGGATTTAGAAGCCTGGGAGGAGGGACAGGCATGTGTTTCCATGACCTCATGTCCTCCCCACTCCTTGGGGCACCTCTTGTTTTCCTGCTTCTGAGGGAGTTAGACCCCAGGAACCTGGCAAGTCCTCTCCTCCTTTCCCCTCTTGCTGCCCCCAGGGACAGGAGGGCAGCTGTGGGGCTGGCTGGGCCTGTCTGGGCAGGGCTGAGGCTACCTCTCCTCCCCTCCTCCCCCACCCCCCGCAGCTCCTCCTGCTGACCTGCATTCTTAGCGGGGGCCTTTGGTGGGGCCCTGACGCTTGCTCGCTTGCTTACCCTGGCAGCAATGCAGCCTGGCTGGCCTGGCCCCCATGATGGAGCCCAAGGCCACCTCTGACCCCTCAGTTCTGGGCTCCCAGCAGCAGGATCCTGGAGGGGCAGGGAGGGCGGGAAATCAGAACATCTGAGCTGACCCTCTGGGCAACCTCTCTGAGCAGCCACCTCCTCTCCTGGGAAGTGGGAGTGGAATCCCTCTAGGGTGGGTGAGTGAAATCAGCAATGGGAAAGTGACAGAGGAGCAGGCAGCCTGGGAACTGAACTGCCCTGGGGCTGTGCTGCTACCTCGCCACTTCTCTGGCCTGTTCCTGCCCCACAGCGGCAGCTGGGGAAGCACAGGAGTGAGCCAGTTTTGCCACAGGCCCAGTGGGTGCTCCTGTCTGCCAGCATGCAGCCTTGACGTGTGTTTCTGGAATGACATCCAGTGGCAACTTCACAACCCCTCCCCACATTGCATCAGAAGCAGCCTTCATCTTCCTATTAATGCTAGTGAGGCTGACTGCTCAGCATGCGAGCACTGTAGGTTTGAAAGAATCTCAGGAACCAAAACGTCTAGGTATTCTTACCAGATAGAGAGCATCTTAGAATCACCCATGGAATTCTTCAAGATACCCCGATTCCCTGATTCACTCCCCAACACCCCACTGAGTTATGCCCCTTGCTAGTGTTTTAGAATGATGCTTGTGAAACTTCACCTCTAGGGGTCTTTTTAACGTGCAGATTCTGATTCAGTAGGTTCAAGGTGAGGCCCAAGATTCGACATTTTTAATACATTTCCAGATGATGTTGATGCAGACAGGCCATGGATACTTTGAATAGAAGGGTATTAAAGTATTGTGTTGTGCAGTGGGAGTCATGTGGTTGAAAAATAATCCTGCCCCACCCCACCTGTGGTTGAGAACCACAGATCTAGTGCAACACCTTTATTTTGCCACTGGAGAAAGTGAGGCCCTTGCAGGTAAAGAGACCCTGCTTGAAGAGACCCTGCAGATCCGTAGCAGGAGCGAGATGAGATGCCAGTCTGCAGAATTCCAGGTAACTTGCTGTCCCCTACCTGCAGCCCACCCCAGGTCATTCTCTACAAATGGCAGTCCCCTTTCTGAAAGTGAAATCCATCTCCCTGGAGACAGCTTCCTCTTGGGAATCAGCCTTGACTACCTAGAGGCAATTAGGAAATATCTCAGATTTCAGATCCCCCAACAGCCTTATCTGGCACACCTGCCTGCAGCCTGCCTCCTGGGGGAGCCTGAGCCTCTGTCTTCATTCCCATCCCAGGAGTGACCACAAACTGGGAAACTGTGGCCAAGGCTCTGAGCAGCAGCCCTGATTGGTTGGCAGGGTGGGGGAAGTAGATAGATAATTTGCAGTGTCTCCCTTCTCCCACATTCCTGAAGGGCTCCAGAGAGCAAAAAGGATGCAAGATGCTTTTGCTTAAATGCTGGTTATGGAGACAGTTGAGAGAAAAATGACCCAGGAAGCAGAAACACTGGGTATTGGAGTCCATCTCCACACCAATATGTGCCCCTTTGGCTAAGACTTTGCCTTTGCTGTTTCAGTTTCACTATATGTAAAGGCACCGAAACTTTAGACTAGACATTTTCGATTTTTCTTTCAAAGCTATTTTTCCTGAGTTTGAGCACTGTGGGATCAAATTGGCCTTTTGAGGGTCAGATGGATTTTAAGCATAAGTGCCTTTAAAAAAAAATGCGTTAACTTAAGTTATCCCTACACCTCCTGGCCTGTGACCACTCATTGATTTGCCGGGGTTTGTGGGGGTGGGGAGAAGCACAGCGTGGGATCGTGCCTTTGGAATTCAAGCCGGGATACAAAAAGCTAAGGTCCTTCCTTAATCTTCAGCTGTCCCAGAAGTGCCCGCTCTCTAACAAATCAACCCGGTTTTTCTTTCTACCCTTTTCACGTAGGGTCCTAAGCCCGGCTTCAGCTCCCTATAGTGACCCCACGGGAGGTGCCCACGGATTCGTAGCATTTTAGAGCCTGAAAGCGGCGCCGAGGAAGAGCAGGGGTTCTGGCAAAACTCTTTTGAGGGCCGCTGCATTGCAAGAAGTGGTGCTGGCGCGCGCCCTGGTGGAATACTGCGGAACTACAGGTGCTCGGTTCCGGCTCCGCCCCCTGAGACCAAAGCCTTCCAGGTCACCTGGGAGCCTTCGCCCAATGGGACGGATGTGACCCCAGGAGGAGGTGGTGGCGTTCGGGACTCAGCTGAGGATCTTGAAGGTGTGACGGGCTTACAGTATTGGGGAAGCGAGAAAGTGTGGACAGAAGAGGGGCGTGGGACTCTTGGAGAGGGTTAGGGTAGCGAGGGAGATGGTCCCGCAACTGCATGGAAAGGCCAGGGCTCCCCTTAGGGCAGGGCCCTCTGAAACTTGAGGTCTGCCCTGGCCTGCTGACTCCCAAGCTTGTAGCTTGGGGGAAGAGTGGGTGCCATCGCTGCGCAAGTCGCGAACATCGAGTGTGAGATGCTGAGAGTCCAGAACCTAAAGGCAGTGTCTGCCCTGAGTGTCTGTTTGCATGTGTTGGGAGAGGGGTCCCCTAAGAGGTCTAGCCAGGGTGGTGGAGAGGTGGCGGCTAATAAGTACACACTCATCCCCATCTCTGCCCAGATGGCATCGGAGAGCCCGGACATCCCACGTTCCTGCGACTGCTTTGTCTCAGTGCCCCCAGCCTCAGCCATCCCAGCTGTGATCTTTGCCAAGAACTCAGACCGGCCCCGGGATGAGGTGCAGGAGGTGGTGTTTGTACCAGCAGGCACTCATGTCCCTGGGAGCCAGCTCCAGGTGGGTTAGGCCTTGTAGGGTGCTGGGAGGTGTGGCAGATCTAGGCAGTTGTTAAGACCTTCCTCCTCGCTCCCCAATCTGAGAAGCCACCAGAGTGGGTGGAAAGAGTAGCTTCCAGTCTACCCACCTGGAACTGGCCTATTATTTGACTTCAGTTTCCTCATCTGTGAAATGGGAATAATAAGATCTTCCTCAAAGGGCTGTGTAAGGTGATTGGCACAGTGCCCTCACCGTGTAGGTGTCTCTCCCTTTCTCCTCCCTTACCTTCAGTGTACCTACATTGAAGTGGAACAGGTGTCAAAGACCCATGCTGTAATCCTGAGCCGCCCTTCTTGGTTGTGGGGGGCCGAGATGGGCGCCAACGAGCATGGTGTCTGCATTGGCAATGAGGCGGTGTGGACCAAGGAGCCAGTCGGGGAGGGGGAAGCCCTGCTGGGCATGGATCTACTCAGGTGCGCACCCTGCCCTCCCTCGTTTCCTCAATGCACCCGATGTTGGGCTGAGCACTGACTTCCCCTCAGCCTGGTTCGCAAGGGCCTCCCTTTCTGCCCACATTGCCATGACCAGGGAGGCTGCGCCTGCCACCCACTGTCCTGGCTCCATCCCGTGGTTGGCAAGGAGACCCCGGATGTGGCCCAGTAATAGGGCACTGATTTTTTTTTTTTTCAAAAGAAAAAATTTTTTTTCACACGAAATCTAATGTAGAGTCCTACTTTATAAAACCAATAAAAGCAGAGCAACTCAGATTGAAGAGCAGCTTGGGGGATTCAGGGCACTTCTCTCTCTCAGACTATGTTTCAGGCCTTTCCATGAAACCCTCAGAGCATAGCTTGAAAACATTGACCTAACTGCTTCATACAACCAATGTGGGCAGGTTTTTGGCTTGACTTTGGCCTGTCACCAAACCTTTCTGGGCTTCTGTCCA